TCACCATTGTCACTTTATATTAACTTGTTGATATCACTTCCTCGCTGTCATGTGGCGTGACGCATATGCATCATTATTCACTTTAGCGCCAATCCCAGAGCACCTCACATTCAGTTACATAGGCTGGCTGGACATAGATTATCCAATTTTCTTGAGATTTTTGGTATACATTTACCAAAAACCATATAATAATAGGAGGTCAAACCTCATTTCCACTTTCCTTGCGTTTCTTTTCCTCCTTTCTTCCTTTAACTCCCTTTTCACTCCTCTTTTTCCCTGTTGCTCCTTTCCTCACTGTCCCTGCCTCTCTCTTCTGCCTACAGCTGACTTATAAAGAACAGTGACTGTAATCCAACTGATAAGGGCTCTATGTACACGGGGCGTCTAGAAAACTCTTCTGAAGATGGAAACTGACTGCTGGAAATTGACAGCGCTATATAAGCACCTGAAATAATAATAATAAGCGCGGGTAACCGCGTTTACACATGTTTGAAATACCAGTAAACTCTACTTTTTTTTTTTTTAAGTCCGCAAACGTGCAACTATAACGAAAAACCCGTAAGTGTTCACAAAAAATGTGCAAGTGCAAAACACCACACGAAAAAGTGCACTTAGGGGTGTGTTTGTCCTACCCCCGAAAGGGTTGGACCGTTCACCCGATCCCCCGGGGCACGAAGCTCCTGACAGGGACAAGGTTCCCATTTGTCCTCCTGGCCAAAAGGCCTGGTAGACCACCGTTCCTTATGCCCAGCCGAAGCCGGACATCCAGTACTAGGCAAGGGGGTTCTCCCGAAGAGAAAAACCCCCTAGGGATCAGGGGAGGAAGGAACCGTATGGCCACACATCCTCCCCCTAGACTTCAGGTAAGGCCCGAGGACCCACACCCTCCATCCGTGAAAAACACACACATAAGAACAGAAAAAGTGACAAAACGTTGGAGTGGTTTAAATAAATAAATAAATAGAAAATAAAAAAGTGGTACCGTGCCTAATAGTGCACAGACCAGGCCCTGAGGCCTGTAGCAAAAATTGCCCCTGGACTTAGCCAAAAGACCTGGTCCTTAGGGCGCTGTGCAAAAAGAAGTGAAAAACAGTGGCCATGTGTCATCTTCACACCGTGGGGTCCCACACCCAAGTGTTACTAGTGACACCCCTGAGGCGACTACTCAGGGGGCACTGAGTTTGCGGACTTTTTGCGTCCCCAGCCCCAGACCCAAGGTAGATCCGTCCAAATCAGGAGGTACTGGGTCTTTCCGGTCTCTCAGAGGAATTACTCCCGGGGCCCCAGCTTAACTCGTGGCGCTCCCCGGTTTCTGTCCCTCCGGTACTAGCCTTCCGGACCCCCATCATACCAGTGAGGGTACTATACAACAACCATCCCCGCAAAGCTAGAATGGTCGGGAGCACCCCCACTGGACACTGATAAGAACAGATACTACACTTGATCTTAGCCAAAAGGCCGAGAAGCGATCACTAAACTCTACTCCTGAGCGCGAGTTTGGTGCGTTCAAAAAAACAACTGTAAACTCAACTGCCTGTAAACGACGATGTGTACATGGAGACATAGGAAAACATTAGGGAGAGTTCAGGGGCTGCTGAGAAAAAACCCAGAAAAGCTCCTAAACGTGAGTCTATCAGCCGCAGTGCACATGAGCCCTGAGGATCATTCCATAGGAAGATCTTGTCAGGCTCTGCAGCTCCTGTTCTGTTGTTATGCCGGCTGTTGCTGGTGCTGCCGGTTACCTGTGTGTGTTCACTTTTATTTAGGAAGCCGGAGCTGCAACTCTTCCTGGCCTGCAATTAATTATCCCCGTTCATCCACTGATTGCCCACATATAAACGATTAAGCAGCGTGCGTCCTTCTACCCTGCATACTAATGATTGATTTTCCAATCAGTCAATTAGATGTGAGCCTTGAGGGTGTGGGGACGGGGGATTACAAGTCTCTGTAGCCGTGAATTCAAAGCCAATGATGAGCGTCGTCAAGAACAGAGAAAAATGGAGAGCGAGGAAAAGAGCAGAAGAGGGCAAAAGAGATTTCAATCATGTCTAAACCCAAAACAAAAATGTAATATATTGCAGCTTACCTGTCCTTAGATGTGATGGCTGCATTTGTTTTATTTTTTTAGTCTTTCCCCCCCCCCCCTTTTTTTTTTATCTAGTGATCTGGCCGGTAGCACACTTTCGGTCTTAGGGTGTCTCCACTCTGAATGAAGGGGTAATGGAGATACCCTGGGATAGCAGCATTGTCAATCTGGGGAGAGGGTAGTGTTTAGATGAACTTGAACAATGAATGTATTTCTTTCTTTTCATCTGGTTATTCTGCCAGCAACACGCTTCCTGTCCTAGGGTGACAACCCTCACCCACAATTGACAATTCAATTCCTGGAATTTCCGTGGTGTATCACTATGGTGGTGAGTCACGCAGCCATTTACACAGTTCTGACATGTTCTAACTTGCACTTTTAGCAGGCTGACCGCACCATCAGTCGGACACTCTGCCATCCTTGTGTCCATCTTTATGGCCTTATAGGCTTTACACACATGCTACGTTTGTGAGTATATTTGTTGTCCTTTTACACTTTTAATAAAAAATGTGTGTGACGGAAGTCACTTTGGGTGGGGGGCCCATGGAACACAGCTCACTTTGGAGAGGTGGGGAGACCCCTGTCTCAGCTCCCCAAATCCCTCTTATGTGTATGTCACCCTGTGCCTGTTAGGAGTACAGGGTGATTTGTCCTAATATTGTGTAGACATGTATAGGTGGGGTGGGGGTTGTGGATTGTTTGGTGTTATGTGGTTGTATCCCATTGTTCTATTGTGTGTCTGGCTTGGGAGCAAACTATTATGGGATGTATGTGTTTATGTGTATTGGCTTGGTGGGGGGGTGGGTGTCTCCAGCAGCCCTCCCTCCTGATGGGACTGTCTGCTGGTGTGTCTCTTGTTACTAAATGTATATTGCCCCGCCCTGTGTCATTATGCGGGGAAGGGGGGAGGGGGGGTGTTGTTCCCTTGAATGTATATATCTTGTATCTGTGTTAAAATAAACTAGTCTACTCAGGTTGACTTCAACACTGGTGTCGTCGTCTAGTCTTGTATGGTCAGCTGTGATGTCTGTTGGCAGTGTTCGGACGGGGGAAGCGGTATTCTAACGGAAGTACCTAAGCGCAGACTGGGTCGGTTCCGTTACAATGTGGAATAGACTCCCTCAAGAGTTGGTTCTGGCCAGCTCAGTGGATTGCTGTAGGAAAGTCCTGGATTTTTTCTTGGATACATAGAATATAACTGGATATAACATTTATAGGTAAAGTTGATCCAGGGAATATCCGATTGCCTCTCGGGGGATCAGGAAGGAATTTTTTCCCCTGCAGGAGCAAATTGGATCGTACTTTGCTGGGTTTTTGTTTTGCCTTCCTCTGGATCAACTGTGGGTGTAGGATTATAACTTTTTTTTTTTCTATGGTTGAACTGGATGGACTTTTGTCGTTTTTCAGCCAGACTAACTATGTAATATACCTTGGATAATGCACTCGGTGTTTGCGCCGCCTGTATGCTTTTTTCCAGTTCGTTGATCTCCCCATCTGAGGAGGGCTGCATCTCAGGAACGTTATCCATAGGCTATTCATGCTTCTGATCCCCTGGCCTTCTCCTGGCATTAGTTTCCTCAAGGCGTTGGAGTGTTAATACATCTCTCTAACTTGCAGCCGCCTGAGTCTCAGACCAGTGCACAGTGAGTCTTTACAGAGTAGTAGAAGAAATAAAAAATAATAATTAAAAAAATTATGTATTTTAGCTCAAAAATACATAATGTTTTTTAACACATAGCTTTATGTTATGATACCATGTGGCAGGTAATGCAGGCTCTCCCAAGATCTGAAATCTAAGTACCAGTTGGTCTTCACCAGAGCTCTTGATGGTGGAGATGGGTCAGAAAACCTAGAGATCCCTAGACTCTTCACTGTAACTGGTTGCTGTCTCTGGGATTGAACCACAAGACGTTAGTAGGCACGGGAGGGCTACAGTGCAGAGACAAAAGACCACAGCACAGTCAGGACTAAGTAAGGGGTTTGGCAGGCAGCAAAGAAGCAGAAGTCAGGTAGACCGGGTCGACAACGAGAAGGCAGTAAACTAAGCTGGATGGTAGAGTAGACAAACTCAGGCAGTGGTTGTGGCAGGTGGCACGCAAAGGGTGGTCAGAGAGTCCAGGTCACCATGAAGGTAGACAATGAGAACAGTCAGGCAATCTGGGACAGCAATGACAGGTAACAGGCTTCAGTATTATAGCTCTTACTGGTAACTGGGCTAGGCCTGAGCTAGGCCTTTATTGTAAACAAGACATACACTGTCTCTTCTACAATAAAATGCCCCTATCCGTCTTCTCTGGTGCTGTAAATTGGCAGGATGACTATCTTTTTTGCACAGGAGTGTCATCCCCTGCCGGCCAATGAAGAGGCCTGAAAACCACCTCTCAGAAGAAGATGCCGGCACTGGCGAGGGACCATTGGACAAGTAAGTATTCACCCTTTAATTCTGCTTTAAGTACAGGAATTTGACTTGATTTTAAGCCTCTTATAATGCTCTGTCAAGGAACATGATGATAGTAGGAGAAAGCAGACTCCACCGGTCTGCTTCTGCTCCTTTCCTGTCCAATCAGAGGCTTGGGCTAGGGAGGAGACCCAACATTGTTTCTTAATTGTAGAAAAGAGAAAAGTCAGATCACCAAGGAGGTGATCCCCAAAGGAGGCAGCTATGAGAGATGTAGACATCTCAGGACCGGTTGGACAAAAATGCATATCCAACTCTAGGTAAAACAGCACCCATATATGTACTTTGTGACGGGAGTCACTTTGGGTGGGGGGCCCATGGAACACAGCTCACTTTGGAGAGGTGGGGAGACCCTTGTCTCAACTCCCCATATCCCTCTTCTGTGTAAATCACCCTGTGCCTGGGTGATCTGTCCTAATATGGTGTGAGCTTTGTCTCAGACTGTGTAGACATGTTTAGGAGATAGGTGGGGTGGGGGGTTGTTGATTGTTTAATGTTATGTGGTTGCATCCCATTGTTCTATTGTTTGTCTGGCTTGAGAGCAAACTATTATGGGATGTATGTGTTTATGTGTATTAGCTTAGTGGGGGGTGCCTCCAGCAGCCCTCCCTCCTGATGGGACTGTCTCCTGGTGTGAAGTTTGAATACCTGTGTGTCTCTTGTTACTAAATGTAGATTGCCCCCGCCCTGTGTCATTATGCAAGAATGGGGGGATTGTCCCCTCAGTGTATATATCTTGTATCTGTGTTCAAATAAGGTAGTCTACCTCTGGTTTACTTCAAATCTGGTGTCGTCTGGATCTTGGAGTAGCAATAGCCAGATTCACTGGTCTCGTGTTCCAGAGCCTGAGAAGCAGCTACTTGACGGAGATACCCAGTCGTGGGTGTCTGGGGTCCGTTACATACTTCAATTGTGTATTTAGCTGTCTGTCTGACATTCAGCTACCTGCCTGGAGTTGAGTTGTTAGAAAGATTCCGCAGTTTACTTGTGTTCTAGCATTGCTTCCCATCGACTCCAATCTAACGTGTCCATGGCACCCTCCCCCAAACTGCAGGAAAGCAAGCGAGAGCCTTGAGAGACGGCTATTGCAATACGACTCAAAATTAAAATAATTAATCCAATTTGCGGGTACTTCGATAAATTCATGCCGTGCATCTGACAAAGCTGTTCCATCTGGAATTAACCCCTGCGAAACTGCAAGTAACCAACTGAGCCTCTGCTGAGGCTTTGGGGTACTTATCTTCTGCTAATAAATCATAGGGGAATAATTGCAGGGTGCTGTACAGAATATAAAAAAATAATTACAAGATGGAGCCTGTTCAGACACAACTTGGGATTAACTAATTATATAGCGATAGCTGTCTGAATATTGCACTTCCTCAGGCTTCCATGGGCTATGCAAGCAGGTCCAATAACAGGCTTGGGGTGGTAAGGCAGCATTGTTACTTAAAGTGGATGTCACGCTTACCCTTAGTGCAGGTGGTCAGGAACTATAGCTGGCTACTGTGTTCTTCACCTATAGTAGCCCCCTTTCTCATTAACACCTTCCCGCCCGGCCTATAGCAGATTGACGGCCGGGCTGGACACTTGCCTTTGTGACTGGGCGTCATATGACGTCCTGTCAAAACAAGTCGCTCGCGGGGCCGTGCAGCGGCGCAATCTGTCCCCGGCTGTGTCCACGGGACACAGTCGATGACATAACACTACACCAATCACAGCAGATCACATGTCAATTGTATACAATGGATGGCTTCCTGTCATGCCATCTGTGACGGGAGTCACTTTGGGTGGGGGGCCCATGGAACCCAGCTCACTTTGGAGAGGTGGGGAGACCCCTGTCTCAGCTCCCCATATCCCTCTTATGTGTAATTCACCCTGTGCCTGTTAGGGGTACATGGTGATCTGTCCTAATATTGTGTGGGGGTTGTTGATTGTTTAATGCCATGTGGTTGCATCCCATTGTTCTATTGTGTGTCTGGCTTGGGAGCAAACTATTGTGGGATGTATGTGTTTATGTGTATTAGCTTAGTGGGGGGGTGTCTCCAGCAGCCCTCCCTCCTGATGGGATTGTCTGCTGGTGTGCAGTGTGAATACTTGTGTGTCTCTTGTTACTAAATGTAGATTGCCCCACCCTGTGTCATTATGCAGGGAGGGGCTATTGTCCCCTGAGTGTATATATCTTGTATCTGTGTTCAAATAAACTAGTCTACCTCCTGGTTTACTTAAAGACTGGCGTCGTCTAGTCTTGTATGGTCGGCTGCGGTGTCTGTTGTCGGTGTTTGGACGGGGAAGTGGTATTCTAACGGAAGTACTCAAGCGCAGTCTGGGGTCGGTTCTGTTACACCATCAATCGTATACAATTACGTTGTTAGCTGTGACTGGTCAAGACAGTCACATGATACAGACAAGGCCAATCACAGCCCATCTGTATCATGTGATCAGCTTTGCCCAATCACAGCTAATCACAACAAAAGACTGAATGAATCAGTTTCATTCAGTAACACTGATTGCAAATATCAATAAAATACATTGGTATTAGCAATCATAATGCGTTTAAAAAATCCTGATCAGTTGCCCAGAGTAGTTCAATGTTACTATGGTAACATTGTATTGCTTTGGTCACAGTGTGCTGAAAAATAAAATAGTAAAAAAAAAAAAGAAAAAAAAGTAATAAAAAAATAATAGAAACATTTAATTAAAAAATACAAATTCAATTATCATTATTTTCACCAAAGAAATGTAGCAGAATACATTTTGACTTAAATTTTTGAAGAAATGTTATTTATTTGCAAAATTGTATAACAAAATGAAGAAAAGTGCTTTTTCTTCAAAAGTTTCAGGTGTTTGTTTTTATTTAGCAAAAAATAAAACATTCAGTGGTGATTAAATACCATCAAAAGAAAGCTCTATTTGTGTGAAAAAAAGTTATAAAAATGTTATACCCCTAATAGGCACAGGGTGACTTACACATAAGAGGGATATGGGGAGCCCAGACAGGGGTCTCCCCACCTCTCCAAAGTGAGCTGTGTTCCATGGGCCCCCCACCCAAAGTGGATCCCGTCACACACATTTTTTTTATTAAAAGTGTAAAAGGACAACAAATATACTCACAAACATAGCATGTGTGCAAAGACTATAAGGCCAAATTTCATATGGGTACAGTGTTGCATGACCGCGCAATTGTCATTCAAAGTGCGACAGCGCTGAAAGCTGAAAATTGGCCTGGGCAGGAAGGAGGTATAAGTGCCCGGTATTGAAGTGGTTAAGCAAGCATGCCTACGGATACTCGGTTGTTCCCAGGTTATATACGCAATGCTATAGTGCCTGGCCACCACACAAGGGCAGGTGCGAACTGAGTTGGCAGACAGGCAGAGTGGTTGAATGACAGTCCAGGTACAAGGCAGGCAAGGTTCAGAAAAGTCAGGGTCAAATTCATAGTCAAATGGCGGACAGGGTTCAAAGAACAGTCCAAGGTCATACACAGGGGAATCCAAACAGCAGAGCAGAGCGGACAAACAGGGAGATTGGACCATGTAGTACCCTAGGTTCACACCTAAGCGTTTCCTGCCGCGTTTTGCAGAAGCGCAGTACAGTCCGTTTAACATGATTTCCTATGGGACAGGTGCACATCTCCGCGTTTTCAGTCAGTGCGTTTTTTGGAAAGGGGCAGGGACTTTTTTGAATGCAAAAAGTTGTGTTTTTGGTTCTATAGACTGCAATGGGAACGCTGCAGAAAAGCATGCAGTGTGTTTTTGCATTTTAATCTGCCTAGCAACAAAAGAAAAAAAAAAATAGCAAAATCGCGTTGAACGCAACTGCAAAAACATAATGCGAAATGCCTCAAACAACTTCCACTTCCGATCACCTAGGTCAGTGGTCGGCAAGCCGCGGCTCGCGAGCCACATGCGGCTCTTTACCCACTCTAATGCGGCTCTTCTGTGTGCCGGGCGCCTGCTCCCCTCCCTCCTCTCGGTCGGAAATCGGGCCCGCTCCCCTGCCTCCTCTCGGTTGGCAGCCCCAAAAGTCCGCGCGGACCTTTTAATCCGGCCCGCGGATGTGGCTGTCAGGATGTGTGTAGGCGGGGCAGCGTGCCGAACGTGAGGGGAGGGGAGCTAGGCTCCTCTCACAGTCCGCCCTGAAGACCCGAACGGCGCGGGAAGACAGCGAGAGGAACGCAAAAGGTAAGTGAATTGACACGGGGGACTTGGCTTACTAGAAGGGGGGGGGGGATAGTACTGTGTGGGGGATGAAATACTATATGAGGGATGAATTACTTTATGAGGGATGAATTACTATATGGGGGATGAAATACTATATGAGGGATGAAATACTATATGAGGGATGAATTACTTTATGAGGGATGAATTACTATATGGGGGGGATGAAATACTATATGAGGGATGAATTACTATATGGGGGATGAATTACTATATGGGGGATGAATTACTATATGGGGGATGAATTACTATATGGGGGATGAATTACTATATGGGGGATGAATTACTATATGGGGGATGAATTACTATATGGGGGATGAAATACTATATGGGGGGATGAAATACTATATGAGGGATGAATTACTATATGAGGGATGAATTACTATATGAGGGATGAAATACTATATGGGGGGAAAATGAATTACTATATGAGGGATGAAAATACTATATGAGGGATGAAATACTATATGAGGGATGAAATAACTATATGAGGGATGAAATACTTTATGAGGGATGATGGGGGATGAAATACTATATGAGGGATGAATTACTATATGGGGGATGAAATACTATGAGGGATGAAATACTATACGGGGGATGAAATACTATACGGGGGATGAAATTACTATACGGGGGGATGAAATACTATACGAGGGATGAAATACTATACGAGGGATGAAATACTATACGGGGGATGAATTACTATACGGGGGATGAATTACTATATGGGGGATGAATTACTATGGGGGATGAATTACTATGGGGGATGAATTACTATATGGGGGATGAATTACTATATGGGGGATGAATTACTATATGGGGGATGAATTACTATGGGGGATGAATTACGATGGGGGATGAATTACTATATGGGGGATGAATTACTATGGGGGATGAATTACACTATGGGGGATGAATTACTATATGGGGGGATTGAATTACTATATGGGAGATGTATTTTCAGTTTTAAAAAATGTGGCTCTCAAAACAAAAATTTCAATCATGGTTTTGGCGAGATTTGGCTCAGTTGAAAAAAAGGTTGCCCACCACTGACCTAGGTGATTGCAGCGGAAGTGGGAGCGGGTACCTGTCAAATTCGGGTACCCGCTCCCCAAAGTGCCAATCCTTAATGGGGAGTGGGGGACAAAAGCTTAAAGCGGAACTTCCCCTTTTGGTGGAGCTCTGCTTTAAGGTTTTCTTGTCTAGATTTCAATGATCAGGAGTTAGCACCCCCTTTATGGTGGAGGTCAGTCAGTGGTGAGAACCCCTCTAAATGTTGGGGGTTATTCCTGTGTTCCCTTTTTTAATGATGGTGATCAGCAGTTAGTGCCCTTTACCCCCCGGTTCACATCTGTGTGGGTGGTGCCGCTGCGGATCCGCATGGAAATCTGTGCAACCACACCACCTGCACAGAGAATTGCAGACCCGCGGCGGGTTCTCTGGGTAGTTCTAATGGCACGCCGCCCGCACTGGAAACCGCAACCCTACTGAGAACTGAGGTTCCCGTGCGGGCTGCGTTTTCCAGAGTAGTGCAGGGACTTCTTTCCCTGTGTGTCACGGGCACGGGAGTCCATTCAAATGAATGGGCTCTCGTGCCCGAGCAAAACTCGGCCCGCACGGCCGCATTGGCGTGAACTGGGGGGTGAGTAATGGTGGTCGTTTTAGTTTTCCCTCATAACAATGGTGGCCAGTATGCTCCTTTAAGATCCACATGCCCTGTGGTGACCAGTTCCCCCCCACTTTGCTGATCACTATGCCCCCCTTTTTATTGATGGTAAGTGGGAGACGTTTTACTCACAAGTCCAGGCAGAAGAAGCAACAACTGCAGAATAATGAAAAGGATCGGTTGGGGGGGGCTCAGCAGCAGAGGAGGAAGTGGAGGGTGCTCAAACATAAATCCAAGCTGTTTTTGCATTTTTGATTGCTGTGATTGGCCATCACAGTAATCACAAGGCACACAGCCATTCGAATCAGCTGTGTGCCTTTTGTCTGGGATGCAAGCTGTATAATGACATCTTCATCATGGACATTTATTGGGAGCACTGGCCTCCTGTGACGTATTTTTCTGGAGTGCCATTTATTAGCAGCACTTCAGAAAAAGACATCCACCTCCCCGCTGTTTTTAAACAATACAGTGGTGGGGAGGAGGTTGATTGCAGCGAAGAAAAGTCAGGTTACCAGCCTGGATTCATCTTTCGGAGCCGTGCAAATCTCAGGACTTGATTGAATGAAATCATTTTTTTTTTTTTGCCCTGATCCTTACTTGGTTGTTTGGTTGGCATTCAGCTTTCCATTTTTGTTTCTTGTATGTAGCTATTCCATCTCAGCCTGACCTGAACTAGGAAACGAAGCTGGAATTCCAGTCAATAGCTAACTAAGGCTAATCCTTACTACCCATTACTAACCGTTCCATATCTGCCACCCCTCTCTGCGGGCCAATCCCTCCACTGGCCTCCACTCAGTGTCCTCCATCCCTCTCTGCCAATCCCTCCACTCCGTGTCCTCCATCCCTCTCTGCCAATCCCTCCACTCCGTGTCCTCCATCCCTCTCTCTGCCAATCCCTCCACTCTCAGTGTCCTCCACCCCTCTCTGCCAATCCCTCCACTGGCCTCCACTCAGTGTCCTCCATCCCTCTCTGCCAATCCCTCCACTCCGTGTCCTCCATCCCTCTCTGCAATCCCTCCACTCCGTGTCCTCCATCCCTCTCTCTGCCAATCCCTCTACTCAGTGTCCTCCACCCCTCACTGCCAATCCCTCCATGGCCTCCACTCAGTGTCCTCCATCCATCTCTGCCAATCCCTCCACTCCGTGTCCTCCATCCCTCTTGCCAATCCCTCCACTGGCCTCTATTCAGTGTTCTCCACCCCTCTCTGCCAATCCCTACACTGGCATTCACTCAGTGTCCTCCATCCCTCTCTGCCATCCCTCCACTGGCCTTCACTCAGTGTCCTCCATCCCTCTCTGCCAATCCCTCCACTGGCCTCCATCCTCAGTGTCCTCCATCCCTCTCTGCCAATCCCTCCACTGGCTTCCCACTGCCCAACAGACAAAATTCA